TCCTCTCCCACCAGCCATCCTTTCCCAGCTACTCCCCTCCCAGAGCTGCACCCCTCTCTGCATGTGCTCTCACGTTCTGCTGCAGCAGGGTCCTTGTGATGCGATCCATGGTGTCCCTGGCTGAGCTCTTATTATTGCGGTTGACAAAAATGAATTTGGAAAGCCACAGGGTGAAGCCCAGTGGGCCCATGTACATCATCTCCTTTTTGGTAAGTATCACACAGCAGTCAGGATATAACTCCGCTATCACTTGGGAAGGAAGGAAGACTTTGTTAGAATGTGTCAGAATGCAAACGACTTTTGGGTCGTTTGCATTCTGACACTTTGTGAGAAGGCTTTGTGGCTAGAAATTATTCTTCCTGGATCTTCCCTGCTCCCAACCTATCTTCCTGGACATGTATTCAGCTTTCGTAGTGGTGAAATAAATTGCAAACATTGCCATTCTTCCAGTGTTATTTTCCAAGAAAAACAGATGCTGGATCTCGCCACGAACACCTCCATTGTTCTCCTAGAATGGCAATTATCTTTTAGTTTGGAAAATGCCCACCACCCTCCTGCACCAATTTGATTTTGAGCTGTAAGCTCACATCTTTTGCCTCCTCTCACATGCATGCTGTGCTCCTGTCTTGCCTCCTCCCGGAGGCTGGAGATGGAGCACAGCAGTGCCAGATCTACAAATTTGGCCATGATGGGCAAAAGTCTATGCTGCCACCTTCCTCACCTGCAGGTGGGTCAGAGACGAACCATTCTGTTTCAGACATACAGGCCTCGGGCAGAGCCATAAGCAGCCGTGGGCAGGGCCAGGATGGAAGGATGAGCAACCAATGCCCCTCGAGGACCAGGAGAGGGAGAAATCTGTGGTTAAGATGGTGGGGCGTTGAGGGAGGTGTCCATGAGGGCCTGTCCAGATCTCAGAGATGAAGAAGGAGACAGGACAGCCCTGAGGGGTCCTGGGCTTAGATAAGCGGGTGGAGGGGTTGCGTGTCCTGTGGCACACCCTCCTTTTCCTTCTCCCACACTTCATCTGCATCATAGTCAGGAAGCAGAGCACGGTGTCACTTGCTGCGCCCCCAACCTTCCCCCCAGGACACCCATTCCTTTGATCGGGGCCTGGATTATGCTCCTGATAAAATTCACATCTTTTCCAATAAGTTTCAATGCAACATTCCAAAGGCGACAGGCTAGCAACATACCCAGAATATTGAGAATGGACTGATGGTTAGCAACAACCATATACAGCCCCTTGGTATTCAGATTTTCGGAGCCTTGAGCCGTGATCTTGACGCCAAGTAAATATCTGACTTGCCGCATCACGAAGCAAAGAATCCTGCAGGGGGCAGAAAACAGGCAGGCAGTGTGGACAAGGAACTGCATTTATTTGCGTGTTCATACCTTGCCTCCTAAGCAAAATAATTGAGGAAGCTTACACTGTGTACAAAATACAATAAAAGAGATGAATTAGTGGAAAGAAGGAAATACAACCCCCTCCCTGCCACCTTCAATTGTCGCAACTCCCACTTTGCTGTTGAATCTCTAGGTCACCCGGCAGGTCTCTGAGGAAATAGTCCCAGCCCAGAAATGACTGCTAAAGCTGCTGGTTGTTAGTATCTCACAGACTAAGATAGAGATGGGGACCCTGCGGCTTTTCCTTGTTGCTGGACTCTGACTGCCATCAATCCCAGCTGGTGAGACCAATGGTCAGGGATTCTGGGAGCTGTAGTTCGGCCAGATCTGAAGGGTTTCAGCTTCCTTACTCCATGTTGTAAGCCACATTCAGGCTCACATTTTGAGGGAGGGGTTAGGATTGCCCCTCCATTGCCCCTGCATATACCAGTAGGCATATTGTTGCACCCCCATCCCAATCTTACAGCAGAGTGAGATTTCAGGGGTCTCTGCACTTACCCAATCCTTTTGGGATTGAGGTAAAATGGAGACTGTGGTGTCTTTATGATGGATAGTTTATTTGCTCATACATACAACCTGAGTTTGGGGAATGGGATTCCCAGCATTTACAGCCCAAGAGAATCTCACGCGTCTCCCATATGTGCAAAGCCTGTCTCAGACTTTAAAGAGACTTCAGCCATGGCTCTGCATCTCTCCCTCCCACTTGCAGACTCGAGAGGACGTTTCTTCTCCACCCCCACAATGGGCTCTGATCCCACCACGTTCTCAAGCTTGTAAAACTTTTCCCACCCCACCCCAACTGTTTGCTTACATCAGCCCCACGGCAATTCTGAAACTGTATTGTTTTTGCTAACAAACCCCCATTTGCGGCTGGCACAGCCTCTGCTTTGCAGAGGTCGGGTCCTTGTTTCTTAATGGCTTATCTCCCAGGGGATTCCCTGGTGGGGGGGGGGGGACAAAGCAGGTTTAGCTTGCATTTTTACACTGGTAAATCTAACATCCAATGGTTCACCTTAATACTCAAAGCAGTGATTGAAACCCAGAACCCAAGAATTTAAGGGAGGATCTGTTGGGTGAGTGCTCTGGGCTATCTGCAGCCCCCTGGATCTCCGAGCGTCCCCCGGTGAGCATAGCTCTGAAAAAGGCATCCCCTTCTTCTCCAGGCCTTGTTCTCCTGGTGTGTTGAGGTCTTACACCAATGGGTTTTCTAGAAGCATTCCAAAGACTCTGCTTAGTGACTTGACCCCCCCCCCCCCCCGCAAAGGTCCTTGGTCTCAGAAGGAGGAGAAACTATGTCAGCAGTAAGGAGGCAGGTTTAGTCACTTTCTGAAGACTGTCCCTGTCTCCAGGTCTGGTGTAGTGATCAGGTGGGATTGCTATGACAAATTATAACAAATATAGAGTAAGCCATCTGTGTCAGCAATGAAAGCATTGCGTTGACTGGGTTTAAACTATTTTGATATGATTCTTGATCAATCCACACCTCTGCATCCCTACTCCATTTCTCTTTCTTGACAAGTCACATACTGCAGGCAGGCATCCTGGGTCATCAAAGATAGTGAGCAGCTTCTTTTAATGTAGCTTTTCTGATATGTTAATCTTAGGATGTTAATCTTAGGGCCAGGAAACAGATCTCACATGAAGGTGATAATGATCGCTGTCCTCCTGGCCATCCTTATCATGTATATTGCTTGTTTATCACCTCCAGGGGTTGCCAAATGCACTCCTATTTAGTTCTGTTTTATTTACCCCATGCTTAATTAGTTTTGGTAGTTTAACTTTGTCCTCACGTGGGGTTTGTTGAAATGCTCAGAAGAAATCTGATTGGTTCTTACGAACACTCTGTAAAAAGTTCTTTTGTGAATAAAACGACCTGGGCCGGAGGGTGGAGACACAGATTATTATACGCACCCTTCCCAGAGTCTTGCTGGTTCAAGCCTCTGTGTGTATTCTTATTAATCAGAGTTCAATCCTTCTTTTACTTTAGGAACGCCTCAGTCTGGTCTTGACAAGAAGGATACAAGTATCAACAAGGGTCTCCCATGTGGCTTTAAGGTGCTGCTCTGCAATGGCAGGTCAATGACCAAGAAGACTGGTGCCATCCATGACTTAATCATGGATGGGAGAACTGATCTGGCATGTCAGTCAGTGAATTTTATTGTTTGTAGCCAATGGCCATCACAATACAGTATGAGAAACAAATCATGCAATTACAAAACGAAAGAGATTTCATGCACCAGACCAGGACAAATCTACAATGTCCAAAATTCAAAACATTCCTTCTAGTCAGCTTCCCTGGGGTCTGGCACTTGCACTACCTAGAAAGGTTGCCCTTATCTTTCTTGCCATGAGTGTGAATAGTGCCACCCTATGGCTGATGCATTTATCAACATTTGCCAGCAGCCATTTAATTTTCAAATAATCTGGTTGACCTTCTAGGGCGATCTGAAAAGGGGAGATAAATTTAGCTTTGAGTGAATCATACAATGGACAATATAAAATATAGTGTACAAGATCTTCAATAGGCCCTGATCCACATATACAAAAGCACTCTGATTTTGAACTGCCAGGGAGAAAACATCATATGAAGAGGAAAGCTCCTAGCCTATATAATTGATGTAGAGACTGAATAGAAGTCCTACCAAGATGCAGCCCTGTTTAACTCCCTTTGCTGTTCTAATTGAACCAGATAGAAATCATGTCCTGCCAAATCAAATTTTAATATCAGTGTTAGTATAAAGTTGTTTCCCAAGATACATCCCACATGAACAACACATCTTTCAACATACCAACCACACTGCTGTAGAAGATGAAGTCACATTCCTGTGTTTTAGTCCAGATAGTCCTTCCACATATTGTCATGAGATTTTGGTGGATTGCACATGCTGTCCTCTATTTCTCTTGTGCTGCTGCTCTACGTTTTTATTTTTAAAAAATCTGTTTCTAAGTGCTCTCTTTCCATTGCACTCTCTAGCTTAATCCCTGTTGCCCCACTTAAACAAATCCCTCTTAGGATCGCCTTCACTGCCTCCCACACTGTTGCAGTCTGGATTTCATCAGTACAACTGAGATCAAAGTAGGATTTTAGTTCTGATGAAATGCACCCATCTATTACACCATGCTGCAACAGCAAGGGAAGGAAATTCCAGCAAAAAGATTTCTCAGGTGTGTCTAGTAACTGCATGGAAGCCCACCCTCTGAGAATTGTCAGTGGTCAAGGATCATAGGTATTGTATTGTGGGATTATAACATGGGATTGCTACTGTTCCTAACTGTCTTCATCTGCTGCTATATTGCTTCATTTGGTTTTGGTATTATTATGTATTGTGTTGTGAGCTGCGTCAGGGTTTTTTTTACAAGTAAAGGTGAGGTATAAATATTTTCAGTTAAATCGAAAATATAGCAGGGGAGTGCTGTCTGTTTAGAAACATGTCCATAATTTGGTCAGTCAGACTTAGTCGCTCTATTCATTATTTCATTTTTTTAATGCTGCCTTACCTCTGAAGGAATCTCAGGACAAAATGGGCAATAGGTGTGCTTGCCATTAAATGTCCTCGTCCTTTTCTTTTCTTTTAAAAACAGCAGTGTGGTGGTAAGAGCCTGATGAGGACGTCGACATGACAGAAAGGGGAGTTTAACTCTTCCTTCCCATGATATCGTTGCAACGAAACATCCTTCGCCACTGGCGAAGCTACTATGCCCATGGGAATGATGGCTGTTTGAGAGGGAAAATATGTCAGACAGTAGCACAGGGAGGAAAGGGTTAAACTCCTACCCCCATCCATGCCCTCTTGTCTCTCAGCACCCTCCCCAAGCTGCTACCATTTTTGAAAGTGAATGACGACACTGGCCAATCTCTGCTGTAGAATAAAAATTCTAAACCTGGTAATCCATCCTCTGAAGCACAATTCAAACCCCTCCCTTGATTTTCAAAGGCACTAATAGAAGGATTAAACACTGCGCTTGGCCAGCATAATCATCTGATGGGTGAGGGTCAAGTGTGCAGGTGATTGCCCTAAATACTTTATCCTGTCCACACCCTCATACAAACCAGGAAGTACATCTGAAACTACTGCTAATGTGGTGTCCAAATTGGAACAGATGTGAGTGATTTTTTTTACCCATGAAGAACTTTGCAATCTGGTCACAGTGGCTTACTGAGTCCTGGGATGCAGGCTACGCTGATGTGCTCCAATTGCATGCATTTCATTTCAATCTGATACCTGCTACATTTCAAAACCTTTGGAGGTAAGTCATAATCAAACATGTACACATACACATGTTTTTTTTGGTCTCCTTGTTCTCAGGTTCTTCATGAGACAGGTTGCCTTTCATTTTAATTTTTCAGGGACCTGTTTCTACATCCGTCCCCCCATACACGATATTAAAACAGCAATTTGTGCACCATAAAAGTGTTTGCTGTGTGATTTATGGCAGTTCTCATGGGATTTTCTGGCTTGATGTGGCAGCTGAAACAAGCTACAATTTACAAGCCTATACATGTCGAATCAGAAGCAAGCCCTTCTGAGTTCAAGGGGACTTACTCCCAGGTGAGGATAGGATTGCAGCCAGTACTTTCAACCCCCCTGTCTTCTGTTTTCACCCTCAGCCAGGACACACAACAACGGAGACTGGAGGTGGGGGGGGAGAGATAATTTTTGACGAGGGAAAGGCAATGGGGCAGATTTGTCAGGCGCGCGCAGGCACAGCTTGAAGACTTTACACAGAGAGGAACCCACGCGGGTTTCCCCACACGTAATGTAACAGGCAGGGAGCCAGCTCAGATAGAGAAGTTCCAGGCAGAATGAAAGGCGCATCCACTGATCCCGCTTCCTTCCTCTTCCCTTCCCACCTCTATCTTCATCTTGACCCAGTGGAGGATTGGCAGTCAGTGCAAATCGCACAAGCGAGGTGTATTATGTGATGGCAGTACTTTGCCCCCAAAAGCAACCTAGCCACCATATTCTAGCCATGAAGCTTGCTGGGACAGTCACTGTCTCTCAGCCAAACTTACCTCACTGGCTTGTTGTGAGGAGAAGACAGGGAGGCAGGGCAACCTCCCTATTTCGCAGGAAAGGCGGGATATGAATTGAATAAGTAAAACAGCAACTCAATAAACATGAGAGACTCTGGAGCAGTAGGCCAGGGTTCCTTTGGAAATGAAGGTTAGGGGTGACAGCAAAGTGGTTGATCAGGCAGGTCAAGGGCCCTGTGGTAGGGGTGTTTCTCCTCAAGAGGTGGCAGAATTGGGTTTGATGAGAGATTCCGAAGAGAAGCCTTTCGCTCGTAACTCCCCACTTTCCCTGTGTTCCCTCCCACTCCAATAACAGCATTTACAAGAAGGCGGGGATAGGCAAGGAGAAACGGCAGGTGACCTACCTTGTGGCCAAAAAGGGCACTGGGTGGAAGTTCCGGAGCCCTGCCGGAGTCAGAGGCCACTTCAAAGTGGTGGACAGCCGCCTCAAGAAGGACATGAGAGCCCAGAAACGCAAGGAGCAGAAGCCAAAACACTGGCAGCAGAAGAAGTAAACCATTTTGTCCTGCCGCTTTGTGGTTGCTAAGCGAGCAGGCCTTTTGCCACCCTTGAACATGTCAGAATCTCAAACTGCGCCCCAGGAGTCTCCAAGCAGCAGCTGACCAGGTTTGTTGAGATGTCACATGGTATTTCAGAATTCCTGGCGCTTGGTTTGGTGGCTGGTGGCATAAGCTGTATGTGCATTGGGACAACGTTGTCTGGGCTCATTTTCTTGCTATCCTTGCCCACTTGCAGCTCACCAGGCGTGTCTGTGGAGAGGCCTCTTCATGAGTTACCTCCCTTCAAGGTGTCTGCCCTGCATGTTTGGTTATTAAACTAACTCCGATGAACTTTTCTCTGGCTGCTTTTATTTTTCTTGTCAGCAGTGCTACAGTAAACTGGGATACTTAACAGATATGGAATCATTTAACGACAACAAAAGCCCTCCAGGCTAGAGCTACGAAACTTTGGTTGAATAGTGAATTACGCAGTGGCCGCAGATATATTTCCTTTCAGAGTCATAGGGTGTTCCTTGTATTGCATCAAAGACAAACATCCCTCTCCCCATTGTTCATAGCTTTGATTGACTTTCCCATTTTCAGAGGTGTGGCACAAGATCCCAGGCATGTTGGGAGGAGGTTCCTTAATGGATCAAGCTGTTTAGGGCTTTAAAGCAGGGGTGGGGAACCTGTGACCCATTATTATCATAGATAATAGAAGTGGAAGGATCATTAGGCGCGAGTGATCATGCTCTTTTGAAGTTTACTATACAGCAGAAAGGAGCAGCCAAGCATACTAGGACTCAATTTCTTGACTTTAAGAAAGCCGACTTCATAAAACTTAGGGAAGTGCTGGGTGAGATCCCATGGACAGTAATACTAAAAGGAAAGGGAGTTCATGATGGCTGGGAGTTTGTTAAGAGGGAGATAGTAAAAGCACAACTTCAGGCAATACCAATGAGACGAAAACATGGAAGGTGCCTAAAGAAGCCAGGGTGGCTATCTAAAGAACTTTTAACTGAGTTAAGATTTAAAAAAGGATGTGTACAAAAATGGAAAAGGGGGGAAACCACCAAAGAGGAATTCAAACAAATAGCCAGCACGTGTAGACACAAAGTCAGAAAAGCTAAAGCACAGAATGAACTCAGGCTTGCTAGAGAGGTTAAAAGCAACAAAACAGGCTTTTATGGGTATGTTCGTAGCAAAAGGAAGAACAAAGAAACAGTGGGGTCACTCAGAGGAGAAGATGGTGAAATGCAAACAGGGGACACAGAAAGGGCTGAACTCCTCAATGCCTTCTTTGCCTCAGTCTTCTCCGATAAAGAAAACAATGCCCGACCTGAAGAATTTGGAGCAAATGATTCAGCAGAGGAAACACAGCCCAGAATAACTAAGGAGATAGTACAAGAATACTTGGCTAGTCTAGATGTATTCAAGTCTCCAGGGCCAGATGAACTGCATCCAAGAGTATTAAAAGAACTGGCAGATGTGATCTCAGAACCACTGGCAGTCATCTTTGAGAATTCCTGGAGAACAGGCGAAGTCCCGGGAGACTGGAGGAGGGCAAATGTTGTCCCTATTTTCAAAAAGGGGAAAAGAGAGGACCCAAATAATTACCGCCCAGTCAGTCTGACATCAATACCAGGGAAGATTCTGGAGCAGATCATTAAGCAAACAGTCTGTGAGCACCTAGAAAGGAATGCTGTGATCACCAATAGTCAGCATGGATTTCTGAAAAATAAGTCATGTCAGACTAACCTGATCTCGTTTTTTGACAGAATTACAAGCCTGGTAGATGAAGGGAACGCAGTGGATGTAGCCTACCTTGATTTCAGCAAGGCATTTGACAAGGTGCCCCATGATATTCTTGTAAAGAAGCTGGTAAAATGCGGTCTTGACTATGCTACCACTCAGTGGATTTGTAACTGGCTGACTGACCGAACCCAAAGGGTGCTCATCAATGGTTCCTCTTCATCCTGGAGAAGAGTGACTAGTGGGGTGCCACAGGGTTCTGTCTTGGGCCCGGTCTTATTCAACATCTTTATCAACGACTTGGATGATGGACTCAAGGGCATCCTGATCAAATTTGCAGATGACACCAAACTGGGAGGGGTGGCTAACACCCCAGAGGACAGGATCACACTTCAAAACGACCTTGACAGATTAGAGAACTGGGCCAAAACAAACAAGATGAATTTTAACAGGGAGAAATGTAAAGTCTTGCACTTGGGCAAAAAAATGAGAGGCACAAATACAAGATGGGTGACACCTGGCTTGAGAGCAGTACATGTGAAAAGGATCTAGGAGTCTTGGTTGACCACAAACTTGACATGAGCCAACAGTGTGACGCGGCAGCTAAAAAAGCCAATGCAATTCTGGGCTGCATCAATAGGAGTATAGCATCTAAATCAAGGGAAGTAATAGTGCCACTGTATTCTGCTCTGGTCAGACCTCACCTGGAGTACTGTGTCCAGTTCTGGGCACCACAGTTCAAGAAGGACACTGACAAACTGGAACGTGTCCAGAGGAGGGCAACCAAAATGGTCAAAGGCCTGGAAACGATGCCTTATGAGGAACGGCTAAGGGAGCTGGGCATGTTTAGCCTGGAGAAGAGGAGGTTAAGGGGTGATATGATAGCCATGTTCAAATATATAAAAGGATGTCACATAGAGGAGGGAGAAAGTTGTTTTCTGCTGCTCCAGAGAAGCGGACACAGAGCAATGGATCCAAACTACAAGAAAGAAGATTCCACCTAAACGTTAGGAAGAACTTCCTGACAGTAAGAACTGTTCGACAGTGGAATTTGCTGCCAAGGAGTGTGGTGGAGTCTCCTTCTTTGGAGGTCTTTAAGCAGAGGCTTGACAACCATATGTCAGGAGTGCTCTGATGGTGTTTCCTGCTTGGCAGGGGGTTGGACTCGATGGCCCTTGTGGTCTCTTCCAACTCTATGATTCTATGATCTTTGTTTACATGTCCTTAACGAGCAGGTCCCAGGTCAGGTTATAGCAATTAAAAACTGATTCCACGTGCAGATTTTGAAGTCTATGGCTGTGCTTCCCAAATTCTCACATCTGCTCTGCATATGTAGAATAGTTTCACAGCTTTCCCTAGCAGGGATGGTCATACTTGCCACTTCCACCTTTCACTCACGTCATTGGCACCTGACTGAAATCTCCATTGGCATGCATAGTTGGGCAATCTCCTGCCCCTTTGCTTCAGGTTCAAATCCAGACGCCACCTCCCACACTCAGCTAAGAGATCTTCCGATGAGGGCGAAGCAGGCTTAACCTTGCAGGCCTTGCATGAAGTTTCAGCTTATGTCATTCAGGCACCTTGGACTGCTGCAACATCTGGGCAGATGATTGGATGTGGCAAATCTCAAAACAGGTTGTGTTCACCTGATGCATTCAGGTCAAGTCATAAATAAAGACGGTAGAGTCCATTTGTTAGGGCTTTGAAATAACAAAATCTGGAGAGAGAAGGACCCCACATCTTGCTGTTTGAAGTTACAGGGCAACAGCAGTTCCTGAATATAGGAGAAGCGTTAGGGTGTTGGACTAGGATGTGGAAGACCAGGGTTCAAATCTCAACATAGTCATGACACTCACTGGCTGATCTTGAGCTAGTCACCCGTTTCCCAGCCTAACCTACACCATAGGTTTCTTGTGGGGATAAAAAGGAGAAGGGAAGAATCTGATATATCACATTGAGCTCTTTACAGGAAAGGTGAGATATTAATGAGAGCTAACAATAATTGCAGAATTGCTGGGCGACAAATCAGAGCAACCTTTCCAACTCTAGGAATCTCAGCCCAAAGTAGCACCTGCCAATGACCAGGCTAAGGTAGCTTATGTTTCTATAAGCAGCACACTTCAGAGTAAGTGTTTATCTCAAACTTGCTGGAGTAAAGACAGGGCCAATTCCAACAACAGGACAAGGAGAAAATGAAACACTCAGGTCATCGTCTGTTGAGATCAAATGCAGAAACCAAAGTGTTCCCTTAGACAGTACAATCACCAAATGCACAAATAGTGCCTGAAAAACCATGCTTATCTTCTGAAGTCCTGTCTGAGCCTTGTAAGACTGACAGCAATCTTACTATTCATATCACCGGGAACAGCTCTCAAAATTCGGAGGTGAGTGACTGAATAGCGGAACTATCAGACATTTCAATAGTGCTGCTATATGGATTGTCGTTCCTTTAAATAAAAAAAGGTGTGGGCTGGAGAGATGCCTGGATCCTGTCGTCATATAGCTGAGCCACTAGCTGGCCCTGGTCTTAGTTGGGTCTGAGTGGAGTGAAGTGTTTCCTCTGTCCTCTTCTTTGGACGGAAGCAAAGTTCTTGTCTAGCTTCCTGGTTGGTGGGTCCTCCCAGGCTTCCATGATAAGGAGGCTCTCACTCTCTGGTATCTTTCTCTAAAACTATGTGCCCATTGATCTCATTGAAAGTATCCAGCATCAGTTTCCGTGTGCTGTCAGCAAGTGCAGGGACATCTTCTGGGCCAAAGCCTCGTGTTTCTATCTTGGGCAAAATCTGGATGATCCACTTATCTGAAGGTGGCAGGGAGCAACAGAGAGAAAGAGAGACAGTGCAACTTAATTCTATGCGGAAATTGCCTTGTAAAGTCTATGCCTTAAGCAGTGGTCTATACATGAGTATATAAAGGAATAATTTTTAAATAAATTTTAGAACAGGTCCAAAATGGCAGTGTTGTACAGAGGAGGAGAAAGGAGTGGCTAAACACCCCCCTCCCCAGAAATAAGTCATATAGTGATTAAGGTAGTAATTTTTATACAGCATTCAAATTCAAATTAAAGCAAGCGGAAAAGGCTTTCAAGCAAAATATATATTCCCACTTCACGTTGAAGTGTATAAACCAAATAAGCAAGACTGTCATTTAGACTCACTCACCTCTACAAAAAAAGGGCCTCTGGCCATCTTTCAGGTTGGGGGGTTGTTGATAATAGGAGGTCACAACAGGGATTATGGGGATCTGTGTATCAAAAAACAGTGGGAAATTAAGAGACCCAGAAGGCGCTAAGCAACGTTTTAACAGGGAAGGTGAACCTACAGGGATGGTCTTGCCTTTCAGAGTTTGACTCTTACCTGAGGTGGAACAAGGGTTCTATTTGGGGCTGACCCAACCAGAGCCGGCCCAAGACAGTTTGGTGCGTGAGGCAAACCACCAACTGGTGCCCTCAGCCCCGCAGAGAAGAAGGGGTGAGTGAAGATCAGGCGCAGGAGAGGGGTGCATTGGAGCTACCTTTGAGGGGCCGATGTCCTTTATTCTCCCAATAAAATATTTGAGGGGGCTGCCTCCCGCAAGTTGACAGACATTGCCATTCAAATGGTGTGTGTGTGCTTCGTCTTGTAATCAATTATGCTGGGCAAAGTCCCCTGGCCTCCCCAATATTTTTTTCAAGTTGGCACCCCTGGTGGTTGGGGCAAATAAAGATCTACATTGGGAACAGGGTGGGGAATCAAATCAACCTTACGTTACAGGGGTGAAGTGGGAATCAAAGGCCACTGTGGAGGGCAAAGGGGCCTGCTCTGAAGCACTGTGCGGCACACATAATTTCTTCCCTAGGGATTGGAGGAGACCAGCAGCACCTCCTATCTGACAAGAGGCAACATTGCAGGGGGCTACCGAGAAGGCGGCAGATGTTGCCAGGGTTCGAAACTCCCATTGTTCTAGGCACATTTTGGGACAAGGAATTTCATTCGCGCAAGCAGTTTCTGAACTCTGGGTGCAGTACTGCGCCAAAGATTTCAGATTAAAACTACAGAGTGGAAGGAAAGGACCTTTTTCTGCCTCCCCACTTCCAGCTACTCTCTGAAGACTGGAGAAGAGACCCTCTTAAGAATATTAGAGGGATGGGCAGGGGAAGGATTAGACCATCTGAAAAATGAACATAATATTTAGCTGCAGTGCATTCCTTTTCAGTTTTGTATTCTTGTTATAACAAAAGCGAGTGATGTGTTCCCTGAGGCCAGATCTGCTGCCCCTGGCGAGAGCAGTGGTTAAGAGCAGTAGTCTCGTAATCTGGTGAACCGGGTTCGGGTCTCCGCTCCTCCACATGCAGCTGCTGGGTGACCTTGGGCCAGTCACACTTCTTTGAAGTCTCTCAGCCCCACTCACCTCACAGAGTGTTTGTTGTGGGGGAGGAAGGGAATGGAGAATGTTAGCCGCTTTGAGACTCCTGAAGGGGAGTGAAAGGCGGGATATCAAATCCAAACTCTTCTTCTTCTTCCTGCCATCTGAGGTGGTCACCTCAACTTGCCTCATGGGTGGGCTGGCCAACCCACCCTCCCCTCCCCCCACAAAATATTGAAATAATGGCATTGAGCCCAACAGAAAGAAATGCCTCCCACTGGCTCTATAAAACAGATAACGACCAGCTTTATCAACAAAGTTCTTTCTCCTTGCCCTCCTCCACCTCCTCTGCAACTGCAGTTTATAAATTAAGAGCTCCAAGGCACCACGCCAGCCACTCCTGGTAGTATTATGTTTGGGAAACCTAAAATCTCATGACTGCCGAAGTGTCCCGCTAATGCTTATCCCTTCCCTCTTACCCCCAAAGCAGTCCAGGGGTATGAAACTTTATCCTTGCTTTAGGGAGCCCCCATCATTGTTTGTTTGACATGAGCCCTGCCCACTAATCTCCATCATCTCACATCTATTTGCATGGCTGGCAACCGACACACAGTCTTTAATAGACCTAGAAGCAAACAGGAATGTGGAGGTGAGCAAAACCCAGCGCAGCTATTAGGGTTAGAAAGGGAAAGAGAAAGACTCTCCATTTGGTAGGCATTTTGATAAGTCTCTCAGATTGGAACTGTGACAAATGTTCAGGAATGGTAAACCTGAGTGATGAATCACGTTTTGCCACCAAAAATGTAGCATGATTGACTCATGGAAGCCCATGAAATCCGCCAGCATGAGACAAATATCTATTTCACAATTCACACGTTTACCTGAGCCTTCACAGCCACACTGAAGACTCCTCGCTTGAAGGGATGTAGTGTGGCCGTCCGGTTCCTGGTGCCTTCTGGGTAAACCCAGACCCTCAGCTGCATAAGAAACAGGCAGAGAAAAACGGCCACAGATTAAAATGTGTCCACGGACCACATCTTTGGAGATCACAGTGAAATATTATTATTTCCTCACTCTTTCTGGTGTAATTTGGCCTGTCACTTAATCTGCTAACGGTCTACCTGGAAACCAGTTAGAAAATATGAGACTGCATCAAGACTGAGGATATGCCTACCCTGAATGCCCTTCTGCCCCCAGGAACGGCTGCAGTTCCTCAGCAGGGCAGACTCTTTTCTCCTTTGTACCATGGGGCAGATGGCTCCACATTCTCCTTATAGTCATGCATGGCACACATCCTTTCTTTACTCACCCACCTGGCAAAATCCTCTTCCAAATATCTGGTGTGCAGAGCAAAATATTTCACCACCCCGAGCCCAGGAAGCTGCCTTCTACCAGGTGAGGATCTCTCCAAGGGCGTGGGTACAGAAACCTCCCCACCAAATGCTGCTACTTAAATTATTATTTCTCAGCTGGAGATGCCAGCAGCTGGAGCCATTGTGTTTGCAAAGCATGCACTCTACCCCCACCCCAAGCGATGGCCCCTCCCAGGGGCTGCTGCAGTCTCATAGGGTCCCTTTTACTCCTCTCCCACCAGCCATCCTTTCCCAGCTACTCCCCTCCCAGAGCTGCACCCCTCTCTGCATGTGCTCTCACGTTCTGCTGCAGCAGGGTCCTTGTGATGTGATCCATGGTGTCCCTGGCTGAGCTCTTATTATTGCGGTCGAGAAGAATGAATTTGCATAGCCAGCAGACGATGCCCATCGGGCCCATGTACTTCAACTCCTTTTTGGAAAGAATCACACAGCGGTCGGGAAGTACCTCTGCTATTCCTTGGAAAGGAAGGAATGCTTTATAAATGGGGCTTTTGGGGTCACTTGCATTCTGACATGTCATTCCGACATCCCCAGGTGGAGAAGGCTTTGTGGCTAGAAATTATTCTTTCTGAATTTTCCCTGCTCCCAACCCACCTTCCTGGACATGCATTCAGCTTTTGTAGGGGAAAAAGGAATTCCAAACATTGCCATTCGCCAGTGCTATTTTCCTATAAAAAGAGGTGCCAGAACTCACCATGTTTTTTCTTATTTGCATGTTTGTTCATTTATTGTTTAAATAATACAGAAAAAACAAAACATCAACAAAAAAGGAAGAAAAAAAGATTGAAAACAATCCAAAAACATTGAAAACAAATATTACATACTTATCATATAATACTCGCCCCACCACAGCTTCCCTCCGCCACAATTATACTTCTTTAAATCTCTATTTCCACATTTATCTTTGCATTCTCCAAATGTATCATTCTTTGTCTTTCTTTTGTCTCTTCTCTTTTCCAATTCATAGATATACTTTACATTTTTATTCTAGTCATATTAGCACATCTTTCTTAGAACAATATTGTAACATATAATCTTCGAAACATTTCCATTCCTTTTTAAATTTTTGATTTGACTGATATCTTATGATTGAGGTTAGCTTTGCCAATTCTAAATATTCATTTAATTTGCAAATCCACTCCTCTTTTGGGGGCAAGATTTGAGATTTCCATTTAGAAGCAATCACTACCCTGGCTGTCGTAGTTGCATATAGAAAAAATCTTTTTTTCACTTGCGGTATATCTTTCCCTATCAAGCCTAGGAGATATGCCTCTGGTTTTTTAACAATTGGGATTTTCAACGTTTTCTTTAATTCCTCATGTATTACTCCCCAAAATTTCTTAATCTACTCACAACGCCACAACATGTGTATTGTTGTTCCTGCTTCTTTGCCACATTTCCAACAGAGGTTGGATTTCAGTTTATAGCTTTTGGCCAGCTTAACTGGTGTTAAATACCACCTGTGGAACATTTTAACAAAATTTTCTTTAATCATATACGAGGCGGTAAATAGTATATCTTCTTGCCAGAATTTCTCCCATTGCTCTAAGTATATCATGTGTCTGACATCTTGAACACATTTGACCATAGTTTCTTTCACTTCTTCATCCATCAATTCCCAATCCAATAAAAAATTATATATTTTAGGCAATTTTTTTTATTATTTTGTAATACTGTGGTGCTCAGTATAGAATCCTCTTTTGCAAAACCTTTTTTAAAATCTGAATTAAATACACTTCTTAGTTGCAGGTATTGCCATCTGTCTGTCACAAATTGTAGTATCTCCTCAAAGGGTTTTATTCTGAGTTTTCATTGATCTTCTTCCGGTAGTTGTCTATATGATGCCCAGTTCGTTCTCATATTAAGTTTTTTCACAGCATGCACCTCTAGGGGCGAAAGCCACCAAGGGGTCTGTGGTTCCAGTTGTGATTTATATTTGTTCCAGACCTTAACTAGTGCATCCCTGAGTATGTGATTTGTAAAATCTTTATGGACTTTGGCCTTCTCGTAAGCGAGATAGGCATGCCATCCATGAACACTTCCCTTGTTCTCTTAGAATGGCAATGGTGTTTACCTGATAGGTGAACACCTTCTGGCTGAAAAAAAAAGCTCTGCATTCATCTTACTTCCGTAGCACAATGATCAGTGATAATCTGATTCATCTTAATTGAGAATCTAAAAAAACCGAATGACTTTAATGTTTCTAATTTAGGAACATTTAATTTAATGTTCCTAATTTGATTTTGAGCCGTAAGCTCGCATCTCTTGCCTCCTCTCAAATGCATACTGTGCTCCTGTCTTGCCTCCTCCCTCCCTGAGGCTGGAGATGGAACGAAACAGTGACAGATCTACAAATTTTGCCACAATGGGCAAAAGCCTATGCTTTCACCTTCCTCTCCTGTTGCAGACATACAGGGCTCAGGTAGAGCCATGAACAGCAGTAGACTGGGCCAGGATGGGAGGATGAGCAACCAGTGCCCCTGGTACATAGGTGCCAACTTGAACAAAATATTGGGGGGCACCCTCTGCTTTCTCCCCCCCCCCCACTTCTGAAGATCGCACCGTCCTCCGCTGTATGCAACTGGGCGCAGGACTCCCCCACTGCCCACTTGCCTCTTGGCTCCTACCTGTACGCAAGACCTTTCTGTCTGTTCACCTGCCTGATGCCCGCTTACCTCTCCCGCTGCTCTGGCTCAGATGAGCTTGGAAATAGCAAAAAACAATGGTAGGATAGCCAGGAAAAGATGGTGGCCCCTGGCTGCCCAAGAGAGGGATGAGGGCAGGGATGCAGAAATTTGCAGGAAAAGGGGGGGGGCTAAATATTTTATTGGGGCGGCCGAAGGGACCAGGACCCCAGAGAGTTGGTGTCTATGCCCCTGGAGGACCAGGAGAAGAGATTTGTGGTTAAGATGGTGGGGGGTTGATGGAGGTGTCTGTGAGGGCCTAATGATATCCCAGTGATGAGGAAGAAGGAGGTGGGGTAGCCCTGAGGGAAGCTGGGGTTAGATAAGTGGCGGGGGGGGGGAGAGAAGATGAAGAGTCACTGAGCAGGTCCTGCAGCACACCCTCCCTTTCCTTCTCCCACACTTCATCTGCATCATAGGCAGGAAGCAGAGCAGGGTATCGCCTTCTGCCCCCCCCCAACCTGCCCCCCCAGGACACCCGTCCCTTTAATCTGGGCCTGGCTTATGCTCCTAATAAAATTCACATCTTTTCCAAAATACGTTTCAGTGCAAAATTGCGAAAGCCACAGGCTAGCAACATACCCAGAATATCGAGAATGGTCTGATGGTTGGCAACAACCATATACGGCCCCTTGGTATTCAGATTCTCAGAGCCTTGAACTGTAATCTTGACGCCAAGTAAATATCTGACTTGCCGCATCACGAAGCAAAGAATCCTGCAGGGGGCAGAAAACAGGCAGGCAGTGTGGACAAGGAACTGCATTTATTTGCGTGTTCATACCTTGCCTTCTAAGCAAAATAATTGAGGAAGCTTACACTGTGTACAAAATACAATAAAAGAGATGAATTAGTGGAAAGAAGGAAATACAACCCCCTCCCTGCCACCTTCAATTGTCGCAACTCCCACTTTGCTGTTGAATCTCTAGGTCACCCAGCAGATCTCTGAGGAAATAGTCCCAGCCCAGAAATGGCTGCCAAAGCTGCCGGTTGTTAGTGTCTCACAGACTAAGATAGAGATGGGGACCCTGCGGCTTTTCCTTGTTGCTGGACTCCAAATCCCATCAATCCCAGCCGGTGCGACCAATGGTCAGGGATTCTGGGAGCTGTAGTCCAGCACCCCCATGCTGTAACCTTTCGTCCCAGGAGAGCTGCTCCACTTTCTTGATGATTTTGGTTTTCTTTTTCTTTTTAAAAATTTAAAATTTAAAATAAAATTTAAAATTTAAATTTAAATTTAAAATTTAAAATAATTTAAAATTTAAAAATTCTTTTTAAAAAACTTTTTCTTTTTTCTTTTTAAAAATTTCATTAACATATAAAACACATACATATACAGTGGTACCTCAGGTTACATACACTTCAGGTTTCGTACGCTTCAGGTTACAGACTCCACTACCCCAGAAATAGTACCTCGGGTTAAGTTTGCTTCAGGATGAGAACAAAAATCATGCGGCAGTGGTGCAGCAGCAGCAGGAGGCCCCATTAGCTAAAGTGGTATTTCAGGTTAAGAACAGTTTCAGGTTAAGAACGGACCTCCGGAACGAATTAAGTACGTAAGCAGAGGTACCACTGTACATTTACACAATACACATACACAACACACTCCCTTATTTTCATAACATAAAACATACCTACATTATTCTATATAATACTTACCTATACTGTACATATCAACATACCTACACACTTACCCGCCACGGACACCCACCAAGTGACTTGACTTCCAGCCGTTCTTGTTACGCTACTTTATTTTTCCAACTAGGTTAAAATTTATCTTAAAGCCAGCTAGGTGTCCAAATTCATTTATACGTTCTATTGCTCTTGGGATACATTCTATTGGATTTTCAGTAGTGATGATCAAATTGTCCGCGAAGGCTCTTACTTTATACTCTCCCCCCCATCACAATCCCTTTTATATTCTCATCTCTTCTAATTTTATTCATTAAGATCTCTAACACCAATATAAAGAGTAAAGGAGATAAAGGGCATCCTTGCCTAGTTCCCTTTCCAGCACTTTTTCTAATTCCACCATAACTTTCTTGACTGGTATCAACCAGAATGGGATACACAGTATTTCAAATGATTATCCTGTTCCCAAGCATCCCTAGCCTGTTTCAAGAGGAACAGGTAGATGTGCCTGGTACCGAGTACCACCTTGTTCCCAGAGATGTGCCCATCCCAAAAAGATGCGGGTACAGCCAAGGCTGTCTACTCACTTCAAGTTTTCCACTCTAGACCCCCTGATTAGAGCTACCCAAGGGGGCACTAGGATGATCATCACTACAATCCAGCCATAGAAAAGCACCATCTTGCAGTAGACATCACTCCTTTGGGAAAAGAAAAGGACCCCAATTAGCAAGACGATGAGTAAAAACAGGGTCCACTCGAACAGCTCCATGATGGTGCCAGATGAAAGCAGAGCAAACGTGGAGATTTGCAGCCTTGAGGAAGGTCAGCGAGTGCTTTTATATTCTTAGTGTTGCAACATTCAAAGCAGCTGAACATCCCAGGGTGGAGAAGAGGGATGGCCTTCATATTGATACTGCAAATATCCTAAGTCCAGGGATTTGTGGGAGTGTCGTGTACAAGAGTATTGAAAGTATTGGTGTAGGAGGGCCAAAGCACACTGAATCAGTCTGACTTTGTATCAGGATTTTATCCAGTATTCTGACCAAAGCAATTTGTATTGAGTTTAACGTAGTTGTTTAATGGGGTGAATATTTTGCTTTAGAATGTTTGAAAAGCACAGGGTCAGGGACACTTCTGCAAAGTTTGGGTCGTTTATGACAATCTGGTGTCAGTTTCCAGTGTCTTATAATGATTCAGTGCACAGGAACAGAACTGTAGTCCTGGGCCCTTTGTGGATTTGCTTGAGTATATTACGGAAATGTATGTTTTGGATCTGGCCAGACGATGCACATCTTTCTGGTTCGTTCATGTAGGGATTAGAGGGGCACTGTTCCTTGCACTGGGACACTTTGGTTTGAGCTCATCCAGATTTCCTTTGGCACAGATCTTGGCTTTAAAAACGCCATGTTGTTGTTTGGTCCTGGGGCTTTGTCCAGGAAAACCTGCACTTTACTGCTGAATCGGAGCAAACAGCAATTGTCGATTGCTCTAATTCAAAGGTAAAGTGCAGGTTTTCCAGGGAAAAGCACGGGAGGGGGGACCCTGCTTGGATAAAATATTTCGGGGGCCCAAGTAAGCGCCGTCCTGAAAATTGATCACATAATGTGCCTGCACACACCATTTTAATGGTGTTGCCCATCAACTTTGGGAAGGTCCAGCCCCCTCAAATATTTTATGGGGGCACATGCGAAGGGGCCTTGGCCCCTAGGAGTTGGCTCCTATGTTAGCAACCCAGGAACATTGCCTGAATAGAAGGAATCAGAACACCCATGCCAATCCTAGACAAGAACCTAAACAGATCTTGGCAAGTGTGTACTCTAAGTGTCCCAAGACCTGAATCTGGTTGTGTGATTTAAAAATAAAAAGGGCGTTGCCCTTTTTCTGCCCTTTTCCCAGCTGTACAATATCATTTTTAAGGTGCTGTGACCAGACCTGGACAGCGTCTATCAAATGTGGTTGCACCATAGATTTGTATCAAGGAATTATGATATTGGCTGTTTTGCTTTCCATCCTTTTCCTTGTTATTCCTACCATAAAATTCACCCATGTATTGGCCATTTGATTATGAGCTGGTTTTTATAAAGTTATATTGTAAGTTGCTTTATACATGGTGCAATTTTTTTTTTATATTCATAGGCTACCTTGACTTGATTTTGCATTTACCAGACTATTATTATACATGTAAGCATGGCCAATATAGAGACTTTTCTGTGTTCAAACTGATCAAGAGTTTAGGAGTTGTTCATTTTCACCTGCAATACGTTTTAATCAGATTAGACTACATTCTGTTATCAAGTGTGATTCATAGCTGAATGTTCCTGAATTTGTTTATCAGAGAATCTGGAAATAACTGGAGGTGGTAATGTATATCTATAGTTAATATGTTGTAATTAAGAATTGCATCCTTTTAAAATGGAATAAGCTTCCCAAATGAAGCTTATAGAGGGCAGTATAGAAAATCAATAAATAATAATGATTAAAAAGTAAAGGTAAAGGACCCCTGACAGTTAAGTCTGGTCACAGGCGAATCTGGGGTTGCCGGTCCTCATCTCGCTTTACAGGCCGAGGGAGCCGGCGTTTGTTTGCAGACAATTTTTCCAGGTCATGTGACCAGCATGACTAAGCTGTTTCTGGCGCAACAGAACACTGAAACCAGAGCAGCACATGGAAACGCCATTTACCTTCCCACCGGAGCGGTACCTATTTATCTACTTGCACTTCTTTGGGGGGGCGTGCTTTATATCAGACGTTTTCAATCTTTTTTTTTTTTTAAATATTTTATTAAGGATTTTCTTGTTTTACAGAAGTAAGTGTAATGCCTCGTATTTTTCCCCCCATGTAACATTTTTACAAATCCGTTTCATTTGTTGAGGCATTAGGGGGAGAAGAAAAAAAGGAATAAAGAAAGGGGGGGAGGAGAGAGGGAAGATGGATGGGGGTGGGGCCGGGTGGCGGTGTTTCTATTATGTTTAATGTATAAAGAGTTTGGTGTCAGCGTTGCTTGTGTTGTTCACTTGTGTTCCTTTCGTGGTGAGAGAGGTTGGGGTTGGCCTAGGGTGTGATTGTTTGCTTGTGATTGGCTGTGGTGATCTTTGTTTTCGTGTGTGAGTGAGGTGGGTGGGTGTTTTGGATCAGGTTAGCCATATTGATTTGTATGCTGTTGGTGGATTATTGTCATTGTCCTGTTGGGCTGTGTATGTGATAAAGGGGAGCCATACCGGGGTGAAGGCGTCTTCTTCTGTTTGTCCCCGTGTCAGTTTCAGTTTATTAGTTAATTTTTCTAGTAGGGCTGTTTCCCATACTATTTGGTACCATACAAATCCTCAAACAAATATACTCCCAAGCCTCAGCAAAATGCAGAACTAACAATATGGATTCTAATACTATAGCTATCCAAAGAGGCACGAAACAAGGATGCCCACTGTCTCCCTTCCTATTCATCCTGGCTCTGGAACCCTTAGCAATCCGCATCCGAGCAGCCAAAGACATCAAGGGAGTGGAAATAAAACGCAGAACCTATAAATTAGGGCTCTTTGCAGATGACCTAATGGTCACAACACCAGACCCCATAAGCACAGCAACCTCCCTAATCAGAGAACTCAACACATTTGCAATGGTGTCGGGCCTACAGGTAAATTTTACAAAGTCAGAAGCTATGTGCTTCAACACCCCTCCTCACACCCAAAAAGAACTCACGAAGGTCACCAAAATAAAACTTTGCCACACCAAGTTCAGATACCTAGGGGTACAAATAACCAGAAACCTCAATAAATTGTACCTCCACAACTACAAGCCCCTGTGGCGACAAATTAACAAAGACCTAAAGAGATGGAATAACATGAATTTCACTCTCTCAGACAAAATAGCCATGATCAAAATGATCACACTCCCAAAACTAACCTACCTATTCCAAACCCTCCCAATCTGGATCCCCTCAACCCAACTTCGCAGTTGGCAGAGAAAACTACACTCTTTCATCTTCTCACATAAAAAACCAAGAATAAGCCTCAAATACCTGCACCTCCCCACCTCAGAAGGAGGTTTTCAATCTTTTTGAGTCCATGGCTCCCTTAACCAACTACATTGTTTCTGCTTAGGATTCCAGTTATGTCTAAGAATGGAAAATAACATAGCGAAATTGACTTGCGAGGTGGTGTGTTGTTTGCTAAGAGATTGAGTGTTGGGGGGGAGGTTCGTTTAATTTCATTGTATATAGGTTGTACAATGACAATAAAGGTATTATTATTATTATATGTCACCCCTTGCCTTCAGAGCCGGCAGCCCCTCACCCCTTTTTGAACACCCTCCCTTGGGGAGAGTCCCCTCAGGCTCCTCTCCTCTCCCCTCTCCTTGGGAGTCCTCCGGGCAGATGCTGCCACCGTCACTGGTCTCTGAGCTGCCTCCCTCCCGTCCAAAATAGAGGTGCCACCCAGAGGTACCATTTGCTTGCGGAGCTTATAACCAGGGCTGCTGCAATAAACAGCTGTACAAGCGTTTGGGAGGCAGAGACATGAGAGGGAATCAGAAGAGGGAGGGAAGGAAAGAGGGACAGAGGCCAGTGTTGCCTGCGGCACATCTGACTATCCTTCAAGGCACCCTAGGGTGCCACGGCACATTGGTTGAAAACCACTGCACTAAATTGATGGTATGGTACAAATAATAGGGCTTATAAAATTAACAGGGAAGGAATTATGCCAGTCCTAAAAAGAGATGTAAATGACAAACATGACAACACATTATGTAGCACACTGTGGTGTTATGTTGGTCACAAGAAATTCTGCGTGTAAAACTCATTGCAAGTAATATTTCAACACATTTTCTTAATGCTAAGAAATTCAAATAAGAGAAAAACAGCAAAACATAGGTTTTTATTTTCATTGTTGTTGCTGCGGGGGGAGTATGTATTTCTGTAATCAATGTCAGCTCACCAAATGAGAAAGCAAAACAGTCAGTACAATAAAATGACATTAACCTATTTATTGCTTTCTTGGAGAAGTCTTTAACTGAAGGGGGGGGAATTCTGAGTCATCTTGCATGTCATACTTCTGGTTGCCTTACTCACGTGTAAAATGCCATTCTGAAAAACATTTCCGGGTAATGAAACTTGGGGAAATTATATTTAAAACGATATAGAACTTGTTAACTGTATATGGAAATGAAAAATAAGTCTGTAAGCTGGCAGAATTACCCAAATCATGTTTTAGCTGTAATAATGTGAAAACTCTAATAAACTGTAGATAATGACAACCACCACCACCACAACAACAAAAGGTGAAGGAAGGTTACAGCAAACCAGGGATAAATGATAAGGGGTCAGTCAAGGCACAACTTGCCTCAGAAGAGAAACCATGTGAGAAAACTGGGTGGGGCTGGAAGTTTATTTAGATGTTCACTGACACCCAACTTGCATCATTTCAGGGGAGCCTCCTTGTCTGATGAAGACCACATTATAATAAGATTTAAAATTAATCCCCAAAGCCTATGAAGTCCTACACTTAACAGCTTTTACAATCTTGTTCTCCTCTTGCATTCAGTTCAAACTAGGACTATGCACTGAAGGCACTGAAACCAGGTCGATCAGGGTGGATCAAGCTTTGGCCAGATTGGATTGAGGCAGCCCAGATCACCCCACCTGAACTGATCCAGGGCTGGCCAAAAGTGGAGTGTTTGGGCAGGAGGGGAGAAGACAAGGCGGGCAGCATCTGTAAGGAATGTACTTACACCGCAGGATCTAGCAGCCCTTAATCCTCTGCTCACCAGGTGAATGGA